TACATAAAACCTGAACACTGTCTTTGTGTCCTCTGAGATTTTTTTTTTAAGATTTTATTTATTTATTTATTTATTTATTTATTTTGTATACAACATTCTGCTTCCATGTATATCTGCACACCAGAAGAGGGCACCAGGTCTCGTAATGGATGGTTATGAGCCACCATGTGGTTGCTGGGAATTGAATTCAGAACCTCTGGAAGAGCAGTCAGTGCTCTTAACCTCTGAGCCATCTCTCCAGCCCCCTCTGAGATCTTGTAAGCAACAGCTAGACATGAATAGAATCATATCTGCTGGAGAATTACAGTTGTGAGTTGCCAGGATACTGGGAATCAAATGCAGATTCTCTGCAAGAACAATAGACATTCTTAACTGATGGTTGTAGGGAGACACCCTAGCCCCGCCCCATGGCAACCCGGACAGGCATGTTTACTCGCCCATGAGGGCAGGGTAAAGGGAAGTCGGGGTGATGTAAGGGAAGGTTCTTAAGGGCTGCACGTGGAGACGCTGGCCCCTTCTCTCTGGCCGCACTAGCTTGCTTCCAGTGAGCTCGCTCTGGCTTGCGTCTTGCTCTGGTGTTTACCTGAATACAGTCTTACCATCACGGACTACAGTTCATCTTTGAGCGCAAGCGGTAACCCTTAAGAGATGGTCATCTCTCCAGGTCCCATACTGGCTAAGAATTGGCCAAATGCAAACATCAGGATCTTTCTCCCTAGTTCCCACCTTCCTACTGCTGGAATCACAAGCATGGGCCACTACACTCATCTTCATTTTTTTATCTTAAATTTTAAAAAGAAATGTTTACAGTGTTGGAGATCAACTAAGACCCTTGTATACACTAAATTGTTCTTAAAAGAATCACTAATGCCTGCAGTGAGACATACACCTGTAACCCCAGTACTTGGAAAGCTGAGGCAGGACAATTGCTAGAGGTTTGAGGCTGTCCTGGGCTATGCTGAGTACCAGGCAGTTAGCCAGAGCTATATAACAATATCTTGCCTCAAAAATAAATAAAACAGCCTTATTAAAATTTTATATTTTTTCTTGTTTCCATTTTCATGTGTGTGTGTATGAATGTTTTAAATGTGTAGAAAAATATGTCTATGGGCACACATGTGTGGGTGCATGTGCTCTTGCATCACACAAATGTGGAGGCCTGAGTTTAATACAAGGAATCATCCTCAATTATTCTTCTACCTTATTAAGGCAGGGTCTCTCAATCAAATCCAGAGTTCACTGATCTGGCTAGTCTTACTACATAGCTTATCCTCTGGGGAACCTCTGTCTCTTCAGAGGCTAGCATTCCAGGCAGGCTACCACACCCAACTGACATCCTTGTGGTTTGGGGGCTCATAACTCCACGTCTTCAAATTTTCAGGTGCTTTAATCTACTAAGCCACCTCTTGAACCCCTTGTTTTGCTTGTTGAGACAGGGTTTCATGCAGCCTAAGCTGACTTCAAACCCTTCTATGTAGTCAAGGATGACCTTGGCCTCCTGTCCTGTCTTTATCTCCCACGTGCTGGGATTACAGATCTATGGTACCATATCTGGCCCATTAAGGTTTTAAACAGTTAATTTTTTCATTGTTGCACACAGTGTCCTATAGATAGGACATGGATCCTTGGCCAAAGAGAGAGAGAGAAAAAAAAATCACATGAGACTAGAGAAAAAAAACCACACTATTATAAATAATTTTGTTGTTTTGCCCTAGGCTGGCATTGAACACAGCATGCAGCTGAGGATGACCTGAACACCTGATCCCCTGTTTCTACCTCCTGAGTTCTGGAATTACAGGTGTGTACCACCACACCTGGCATTTATATATATTTGGAAAACTTCAAAGCAGTTTATGAAGTAAAGTTTCTGTGATGAAGTTTATAAGAAGCATCTGGGGACTATAACTCCGAAAGGAACAAGGACACAGTCCACAGTCCACAGTGTCCTGGCTGGAGACTGAGAATCTGAATCACATCTCCCAGGGACTGGTCAATGTGAAGTGAGTGCAGGGCTATAAATAGTGACAGCCAGTTTACAGTACAGGGTGATGAAGTAAGGGACCATAAACATACATAAATAGAGCATGGCTGTTAGCTATAAACACTGGACCAAATGCATCTACTGTGTAGACAGAGACTGGGGGCTCTGTTTAGCTTGGAGAACCCTCGATAACTATAGAAAGGCAAGATGGCATACCATTTTGGGGGTCAAACAAAGCAAGGTTTGAACCCTTGCTCTTTCACTAGCTGTATGAGACCAGATGAGTTACCTTCCCCCCTACAAATGTGACTCCCCAAATCTACCATGTGGCCCTTGACTGTACCAGTGCTAGGCTCTATGCCAGAGAGAGTACCAAGTAGAAGCAAAAAAAAAAAAAAAAAAAAAAAACCCACAAATATTTCCCTTCACTCTGTGTATCTGCTGGGCCGTTATCTTGCCTTTCTCCCCCAGGACATTGCCAGTTTCTCATAAAAAGGATTATGTATTTGTGGCCTTGGTATCTGACTCCTGGCACCTTCTCAGAGGATGTTGAGATAATCAGCCTCAGGAAAACAACATGTTCAGATAATAAAGGTAGCTTAGCATTAACTGGATTATGTGCTCAATGACTAGCTCCATCTGACTTCAGGGGTGACATTTTCTAACCTTCATAACAACAATTCCTTGATTGTCCCTGCGAATATCCCAATCAAATAGAGCGATACAGAAACTGTGCGATCTTTCCCTGCTTGTGCAGCTGGTTAGTGGGGGTGGGAGGATGCAGGAGGAGGCAGGCTCTGATCCTACAGTCACCAAGAAGAATTCCACCAGCCAATGGGAGTTTCAGCAGCTGTCTGAGTACCAAAAAGGGAGAGAATCTGTGAGAAGGATAACCGCATTCCAGGCACTGAGTACAGCTTCGGGACAGCCCTGATATGTGACAAGCTTGGGATGGGGGTTGAAAGAAAAAGAACAGTCTCGGGTAGGCAAAAGCTGGTGGGCTTTTGGCCTCTAGTAGCTCTCAGTGGTGTAGGGGTTCATGTGTATTCTGTGCAGTTGAACCCAGGGCCTCTGTATGAAGTTCTGTGACTGAAACAGGCCAAGCTAAGGTCCAGGACCCCAGACATCAGCCAGGCTATGCATAGGTGGCATAGGGTTGGTAGGGAGCTAGGAAGTGTAGCTGGGCTTATGAAGGGGATCAGAGAGCTGCACAACAGATCTGCCACACAGACACCACCATCCCTCTTTAGTGAGGGGGATGATATAAGCAGCACAAATACAACTTAACGTAGATGTTAGTTAATGCTTTAAGTGCAGTATAAACAACACAGGTGGAGGGGCTTGATGTGTATAAAGCCCTTGACAAGTCTTGAGTTCCCACATTGCAAATAAACTAATAAGCTAATAGCCAGCTGGGTGTGATGTAATTCCAGCGCTCAGGAGTCTGAGGCTAGTAGGTTGCCATGAACTAAGACCAGCCTGGACTATGTAACGAGACCCTGTCTCAAAACAAAATAAGTCCCTGGCCAGATTGTTTGCCTAGTATGCCTAGCCTGTGTGAAGCCCTGGGTTTCATGCTGGGGAGGAGGTATGTGTGTGCATAAGCAGAACTGGAGAGAGAGGTCAACTGGGCAAGGTGTTTACCACGCCAGCAGGAGGACCTGTTATTATGAACCCAAGAGGAAATACTGTCCACAGAAACACTGGGTGTCTAGCAAACTCTTGGTATCTGTTACTGCTGACGACTCAAGAGTTTAAATGAAAAGGATCCCCTCCCCCACACCCTCCCATGAGTCAAGAGCCGTATTCCATTTACCTTTTCATGATTTTGCTGGTTCAAGGCTCACATTCCGCACCAGTCACATCACACATAATTTTCTAAGTACTAGGAGAACTAATGGAGGTTCCAGGCCTTTACTTTCAGCCGCAGGGAGGAAGCAGGGGCATCCTGTTGACCCCTCTGAGGGAAGGGTGGATATCCATCCCATACTCCAGCATCCTCTTCCTTGCTCTCACAGCGGGCACTGGTTTTTCAGTTTTTAGCTGGAATTCAACTTTAACGTCATTTCTTTTAGGCTCATTCTTCCTACCACTGTAATGTCTATTAGATTAATTCCCCTCTCAACTACCCCACTGCACCCCAAGTCCCCAAGAAGGTTGTCAGGCCTCTCCCTGTATTTTCAATTAACCTAGTGTCAAATTAATGACCAACTGCTGATTTGAAATATCACTTAGAAGGCCCGTGTCTCATTATCAAGAACTGTCCAGGGGTCTCTGAGTCTTAGGGGAGCTCAGATTCTCGGATTCGTTGTTATTCAGCTTTATTTGGATCACCCCAAATTCTCTGTAGGGAGATGTCTGGTCCTTGGAACCCAGCCTGCTCTGGCCTTCTACCTCCCAGGCCATCTTGATGAAACTGCCTTACTTCCAGAAGACCTGGTTTGATTCCCAGCACATCACGAGAAGCTTTCTCTGGACAATTACTCGAGTCCCAATGTTTTTTTTTTTTTTTATTGTTTGGAGCTCCAGCAAAACTTACTTGAATTGTGTCCCATACTTATGACTTTGTCTGGCAGGTGTGGGTTCCTGTTTCCTGCGGAATCTCATAACTAAAGGAACCCAAAATCAGAAACTCAAAAAAAAAAAAATGCTCAACGAATGATTGGATGAATAAAGGCACACATATTTTGTTAGGCCTTTTGCTAAATTCCAGCACCAGCCCAGTCTTCCCCCTGGTGTGGGCTATGTCCCTGGTTCCAGAATATTTGTTTCCGGGTTGTCTGCTCTCCAGGAATTAGCCTGACTGCAGAATGCTGTTGCAGAGTCCCTTCTTTCTGGATGGGAGCCCACCGTCGGATTGGGTCGGGAATTCAGGGAACCAACGCCCACTGCTGCGCCAGGACCTCGGGGTCGCCCCTCTTCCTCCCACTCGCAGCTATTGGTGGACGGGGCGGGCGGGCGAGCCCTCCCGATAGCCCCTCGGCTCCCCTCCCCTATTTCCCGGGGTGGGGACACCGGGAGGCGGGAGTCGAGGAGGGGCTGCCAAGGGGCGTCGGGTTACATCTCCGCCTCCTCCGCCTGAGCTGGAGCAGCCGGGGTTGCGGGACTACAGTTGGGAAACATGCTGGACGCGAGCGGCTGGAAGCCCGCGGCGTGGACATGGGTGCTGCTGCTGCAGCTATTGCTGGCGGGGCCCGGAGACTGCCTGAGCCGTCAGGAGCTCTTCCCCTTCGGCCCTGGGCAGGGGGACCTAGAGCTGGAGGCCGGGGACGACGTGGTGTCCCCCGCTCTGGAACTGATCGGAGAGCTGAGCTTCTATGATCGTTCGGACATCACGTCGGTCTATGTGAGTTGGAGCCGGGCGGGGAGCAATACCAGGGTACGCTGGGGGCGCCTGTCCAGAGAGACAGATGTGAGACCTGGGCGTCGCCCGCGGGGACCCGATAGGTAGCTGCCGGGAGCGGGCGCTCCGCTGGTTCTGTGCACCTAGAGGATTCTCATTGCCTGTATGTGACTGTCACCTCACGAGCACGCGAGGTCTAGGGTGGTATCTGCTTCCCGGATTCACCCATCTCCGCGTGCGCCCTGCCTAGAACCGGGGACCTCGGGTGGAGTTTTCCTTCTCTGTTCAGTGTGCCTCTCGCCTTTGTCCCGAGCCTTCCTTCTGGGACAGGTCCCGGTACCCCGCTGCGCAATGGCTAGAATTGGGTCACAGCCTGCACGCGTGCAGAGAGACTTTGCTGATGGCGAGCTGGAAAGGACAGGGGAACCGTGTTGCCCCGCCCCAGAGTTCAGCGACAGCCCCTGCATCTGTGTGCGTGGGTTCTGGCTACGTCTTGGCAGAGATTTTGCTTTCTTAGCTGAGCTCGTTTCAGAGTCCAGAGGTCAGGGCTGGGAACTCAGGGCGTCCCGGTGATCCAATTTCCTGTAACTGAAGTTGTCACCCAAGGGCCCCAGATGAGGAGGGGGACCCGCATGACCTTTTAGGTGCTCGAACCTCCCCAGGGCCGATAGGGCCTTGGCGCGCTGTCTGCCTGGTCAAGCTCTTTCGTGCTGCTCCAGCACACCATGTGGATTTGATATAAAGCTTGTGTGCATTCCACAAGTGGGGGTACTATACACTCGGCGGCTGGGGCCTGTCCTGCGGGGGAGTGACTGTGCTCCCGGCCTGATCAGGGCAGATAGCGTGGGGCAACACCCACGTGCAGCTTATCAGCTTTGCCTAGAAAGAATGAGTCCTTAGTCACACCCACAAAGAGCTCTCACCCGGTGTTGGCTGATTGCCCTGACCCTCGTGGGAAGCCTGGAGAAGCCTACAGACTTAGTTTAGCATGCTTTCAAGTACACACAAAATAAAATCCTTCACCTTACTGAAGAACCCATCTTGTTGAACACACATCAATATATTAAAACATATACTCAAATTTTATGTAGTATTGAGGCTTCTCCCGCCTCCCCAGCGCCCCCTCCTCAATTGGGGATCTAGGGATCAAATCCAGGGCCTCCCGCATGAAAGACAAGCACTCTACCAACTACATTACATTCCGGCCATCCTGTTTCTGTTAAGCCACGTGAAGTACTGTGAGTAGAGGTAGCACCAGCAATGGGTTAGGGTGGATCTGAGATTCGATCAGAGGCTTATCAGTAGATATCTGCCAGACTCCACGTGGGACATGAAGAAAGTGGCAAGAAACCATGGTGGTATTTGCCTGAAATCCCACACTTGGGAGTAAAGGAAGGAGGCTCTGGAGTTAGGCTAGCCTGGACTATGTATGGGGTTTTAAAATCTGTCTTTAAAAGGCAGGAAATAGCCTGTGAGGTGATTCGGTGGATAAAGGCATTTTACTTGTCAAACCTGACAACCTAAGTTCATATCTCCATCCCTAGGACCCACATGGTGGACGGAGAAAACGGAGTGATCCAGGTTGTCCCCCACCACCATGATTTTAAAACATCCCCAAACAAGCAAAGCACCAGACCAGGCAGACCAGACAGAGCTGGGGTCAAGAGACTTTAGCCTGATTTTACTCTGGTGCTGGAAGCCACCAAGGAGGCCAGATGGAGAGTGTCCTGTGTCTAGCAGACATTAGACCCAATAGTCAGGGACAGGAAGTGGAAGTCTGGAGACACTTGTTTATAAAGGGAAAGAGTAAAATAAATACATAAATAAGTTGGAGGTGGTGGCATAGGCTTGTAATTTGTGAGTTTGAATTTGAGAATATCCTGGGGTATAAGAAACTTTGCCTTAATAAGCAAACAAAATGAAGCTGTGTTTGACATTCTAGAAAATGACAGCTATCATTAATGTTGCCCAAAGAGGTAGTTTCCTGAGTAGTAGGCTCCAGGATCCCTAAGTACAAGGAATTCAAAAGGTCAAGATTATTTTAAATAATACTAAGATGTTATTTGCTTTTTCCCTTTATTTATATTTTATGTACGTGGGTATTTTCTGCATGTATGTCTGTGCACCACATGTGTGCAGTGCCAGAAGAGGCCAGAAGAGGGCAATGGATCCTCTGGGACTGGGATCCCATCTCAGTGCTGGGACTAGAACCTGTTCTTAACTGCTGACTCATCTCTCCCAGCCTGTTGTTTATTTTATTAAAATCTTTCTTTTTTTATTGGATGAATGGGCATATGTGCCGTATGTGTTCATGTGTGGAGGTTAGAGGGCAATTCTTGGGGATGGGTTTTCTTCTGTGGCTGTTGGCTGCAGGGATGGAATTTAGGTAACTCAAGACTTCCAGCTGTGAGACAAGAACCTTACCCACTGAACCATCCATCCTGCCAAACCCAATTGCTTTTATTAATTTAGTTGCCCAGGAATATAGGGCAGAGTTCACTAGGGGCTGCATGATACACACATGTCTGTCCCCACAGGTCAAATGCAGAAGCAGCTGCCTTCCATTTAGCTGGACATCAGGTTGATTTGCAAAAATGTGAAGCAAAGTCTCATTGCTCCCCATGTATTTTGGTTGGGAAATATAGTCACTTGCATTAAGATAATAAGATAATGTTTCTGTCACCATGTAACATATTCATTTGTTGTAAGTATTTAACTTGCTCTTGGCTTTATACGATTAAATGTTGATTACAGTACTTTGGGAATCTTCAAAAACTGTTAAGGATTTAAAGGGCTCCTGAAACCAGCCAGTGGTGGTGTACCCCTTTAATCCCAGAGGGGGAGGGGGGCAGAGACGGGCAGATCTCTTTGAGTTCAAGGTCAGCCTGGTCTACAGAGTGAGGTCCAGGACAGCCTCCAAAACTACACAGAGAAACGCTGTCTTGAAATCCCCCCACCCACCCCCCCCAAAAAAAAGTCTGAAACCAAAATGCCTGAGAGCTGGGCTGCTCATCTGACTACTCAGACATTGAGTTTCAGGACAGGAGGAAAGCTTTGCTGGGAATGTCTTCTGGAAGAGACAGGAGCCTTGTTGGAGGGAAGTGCCCTCCCTTCCTTCGGTTGACCTCAGAAGCATCCCTGCTTGAGGACATGTGATTCCCCAGAGGAATGACCCTGAGTGGTCATCAGTAGAGTCCAAGCAATAAATCCAGCTGTTCTCCAGATTCCATCCAGGATCTAAGCCCCACCCAGAGCCCTAAGCCATTGAAATTTCGAGCCTTGCTGCTGTGGCCCATGAACCTCAAACTCCCAGGTTGAGAGTTCTTCAAAACGGCTATTGTTTAGAGCAATGAAAACATTTCCTGCCCTGGATTGGAATGTTGTCTCCATTTGCGTGCTCATTGTCATGTTAACTGGCCACCCTCATTGGGTATGCAAAGCAATGAAATAATCTCTAGAGCACGATTTTAGTGATTTGTCCGTGAGTCATAAAGATGGATAAGTAAATTAGTTATGATTAAATGTATTCAGTCTGTTTTATTGAAAGAAATCTTGCATGTGGTTGGAAATAGAATATCTTTAGCAGCAAAAAGATTATATACCATGGGCTAACTTGCTTGCCCGGCAAGCATGAGGACCTGGGTTTGATTCCCCGAGAACCCATGGTAGAAAGACAGGCACAGCAGCATGCTTGTGATCTCAGCACAGCAGAGGGAAAGAAAGTATTCCTGGGTCTCGTTGGTCAACATTTCAAGCCTAATCAGCAAGCCCCAGGTTCAATGACAGTGTCTTAGAAAATAAGGGGGAGGAGGGGACAACCTGACATAGACCTCTGGCTTTCACATGGATGTGTCTGTACACACAGGAGTACACATAGAGACATGCATGTACACAAACACACAAAGTTATTGTATTCTATTATTCCCCTATACACATATGCACTCATATACATTAACACACATGCTCACAGATAGCATTGCTTCACTTGCTACCCCACAGGACATTCATGGACTACTGTCTAAAACTTCAGCTTGCTCCAAACATAGGCTCTGGCCTATGGAGGAAGGCAGCTGAGTCTATCCTAAACCCTGATCACCCAGCGCTAGCCTGGGACTGTGATTCCTAGATGAAGAAGCACCTGCTTCTCATTTTCCCCAAGTTTCCCAGTGGTTGAGCAGTGACTGTGGTTGAGTCTTAGAATCCAAACGAGTATTAATTCCAGCAGGGGCTGAAATGCAATTGACTGGTTATAGTGACCAACTTATAATTGAAGCCAAATCATTATTCTGATACTTTTAAAAAAAAAATATTAAGTGAGGCATAGTTGTCCAAGCCTGTAATCCCAGCACTCCCGGAGGCATTATATCCATTTTGGGCTATACAGTGAGCCCAAAGATAGCCTGGACTAAGGAATAAGACCCTTCTTTAAAATCTAAAAATAAAAACTTGTTGCTAATATTTTTAGCAGTGGTTGCTTTTTCAGGACATAATACTATTTTTATTTTGAACAGGGGTCTCATGATGCCCAAACTGTCCTTGAACTCCAAATGTGTCTACCGAAGATGACACCAAATTCCTGATTCTTCTGCCTCTGCCTCTTGAGTGCTAGTATTACAGGCATGCACTGCTGTACCAACTTTATGTAGTGCTGTGGTTTGAACCCAGGGCCTCATGCATGCTAGGCAAGCATTCTACCAATTGAGCATATATTGCCCCATCCGTGTGTGTGTGTGTGTGTGTGTGTGTGTGTGTGTGTGTGTGTGTTTGTGTACCTAGAATAGATCCATTATCTATTCATTCTATAGTTATTATTATTTATTATTGTTATTAGCCAGGTCTCTCTTGGAACTTTCTCTGTAGACCAGGTTGGCTTGGCACTCACAGAGATCTGCCTGCCTCTGCCTCTCAAGTGCTGGGATTGAAGGTGTGCGCTCAACTTTAACTAATTTCCTAATATGCTAGGCACAGTGTGTGGCTTGTTACAGACTGAAAATAAGATCACT